CCCCTTGGCTCAGACCCCGCCCCCACAGGGAGCTCTCGTTTGGGAGGAAGAAGGCGCCGCAGCGGCTCTGCGGGCGCTTCAGTCGGATCAGCATGAAGCTGCCCCGGATCCCGCTCCGCAGGCAAAAACTGCCCAAAGTCGTAGGTAAGGATGACGGCGCGAGATCTCTGGGGGGAAACACCTCCCGACACAGGAAGCTGCGAGGAAATGGGTGTGAAGGGGTCCTTGAGTAGAAATGGGGGAACTTGAGTGTTGATTGAGTGTTGATGTGGGTGGGCGTGGGGCGGTGCTACAAGAGGGAAGGAAGGGGGAGCTGTTGCAGGTGAGGCCAAGGAGGAAGGCAGGAGTCCTAGGTGTGCAGGCCGGTGTGGGGCTTGCGTGGGAGGCGCTGGGCCTTGTCAGTGATGGCATCAGAGGTGTGTGGACATCTGGGCCTGACAGGCCTCCACCCAGTTTGTAGGAATACACTGTACATTCAGGGCAGAGCTCCAGGGGAATGTGAGGGTACATGTTTGTAAGAGTGCCCTGTCCCAGAGAAGATCTGCCCTCCTAGCTGCATCCCCAGGGGTGCCTTGAGCCCCTCCCAGAAAGTGGGCTGGCAGGTTCATCACCCCCTCCCTTGCCTCCTACCAAGGGTGAGTGTGCTCTTTCTCTCTCTGCTGACTCTCACACGGGGTGGACCTTCTCTCCCTCTCTTCCCACTTGTTTCTGAAGATGGGGGAGGGGAGTCAGAATCTTGGGAGGTAAAGAAGGAGGCAGATGAGAAAGCACCTTGGCCCACATCTATGGACACAGGTATGCAGGCTGGACCCCAAATCCTATCTGTGGAGTGGAGGCCAGGCCAGCCAACTTCTGGGTTCTCCCATTATGGGGGCTCCATCCCTGAAGGTATCTGGGCTCAGAAGTGCTCTAGGCCTTGTTGGGTCCCACAAAGCAGGGTTCATAGATGGCTTGGGGGTCCTGGTGGCCTCTTCTGTCCAGCCCTGACTCCCACCTTCTTGATTTTTTCCCAGTACTTCAGTCCAACTCCCTGGTGGCACACCTTACCTTGCACCTTTACACATGCTGACCCTGCATCTCCTTTTTCGGGTTCACCTCTACCCATCCTCCAGCCTTGGCCTAGTGTCGCTCTACCTGTTGACTTGCTCGTCTCACCTGCAGTCTTAGAACAGGGCTGGTCTTGACCACTCCATCAGCATTTGTGGCAGCAGGGCTCATGAGGGCACAGGCTGGGGCAAGGCAGGGCCCTTCCAGCTCTGCCTCACTCCTTCCCCAGTGGCCCATCACGACCTGGATAACACACTCAACTGTAGCTTCCTGGAGCCACCCTCAGGGCTGGAGCAGCCCTCACCATCCTGGTCCTCCCGGGCTTCCTTCTCCTCCTTTGACACCACCGATGAAGGCCCTGTGTACTGTGTACCCCATGAGGGTGAGTACCACCCTGTCTGGGCATCGCTCCAGCCCAATGAAATGTTCCTACTTAAAAGATTGGGCAGGGTGCGGTGGCTAATGCCTGTAATCCCAGCACTTTGGAAGCTGAACTCAGGAGTTCGAGACCAGCAAGACCTCATCTCTACACCCCTCCCCCCCGCAAAAAAAAAAAAAAAAAAAAAGAAGAAGAAGAAAAACGAAAGACCTCTGTGCTCTGGGCAGGTGCAGGGTAGGGGGACAGGCAGCACAGGGAGGAAGGGCACAAGCAGGCTGTAATTGTGTGCTGCCTGTCCTCCTCCCCTGCACCTGAGGCTGCAGAGCTGGCTTCTGTGCTGTTCCATGTCACAGTGGGGTGTGGGGAGATGAGTGGATTCTCCTGTCACTCACCACAGCTCAGGGTTACATCTGGGGAGAGGACCTAGGAGGATTCACAGGGTACAGGCCACCTTTATCCTTTACCTGCAGCCTTGGGTCCACAGATCGCAGAAAGGAGCCTGACTGGCTGGGACTCTGGGCTCTCTCCTCCTTTGACCATTCCCCTGGATACTCTGGGGCAGGCGACTAACCTCTGAGCCTCAGAAGTCTTACTTCTTAAGGAAGGATCATGGACTCCCCTTGGGGATATCCCACCGTCAGATTTGATCATGGTGGCTCTCCAGGATGGGGGTGTGGTGGGGAAGGGGTGCAAGATCAGGAAAAGGTTGGTTGGGCTTCTGCCTCGGGAACGTGCCCGTCACTCCCTAGCAGCCAGCCACACACCCTGGGGCACTGACCTGATCTCTGGTTGGAGCTCTGAATGTGCCAGGCCCGTCTGGATGTCCGGGCAACACAGCGCTAGGGCCGGAGGTGGAGCAGGGAGGGTGAAGTTTCGCGCCTCAAGGTCGGACCGAAGCTATTCCTGGAGACTGTGACCATCCCGCTCTTCCCTTGTCAGAGGCAGCAGCCGAGAGCCGGGACCCGGAGGTCTCCACCGTCCC